GCAAGCCCAAGAACCAATCTAAAACCGTAAACCACCCATAATCAAGTCACAGAGCTCTCGTTGCTACACAGTGGGACGTATTACCCCACTCTCCACGAGGAAGGCTTCAGAGTACATCGCGTACCCATGGAAACATTGCTCCATGCTTCACAAGTCAGCATAATGGCTTGGGACGGATAGTGATATAGCTGACAGAGAACTAAACATACATATATGAGATAGTACACACCAAGCGTCACACTATCAGTTGGGGATTGAAAGCCGACAGAACACAGAAGGAGCCGAGAAAATGAGAACGATCCAGAAAGCATCCGAATGACTCGCTCTTGACGGTAACGGTTGGCGAGTCGCGAGAAAGTGTGAAATTCACGGCAGGGAAACAATATATACAACTTGAGCTGGCCTCCCAATGTTGAGAGAAAAAGATGAAGGGAGAAAGACACGCGATAATGACAAAGAGAAGCTGGAAGCCACGCACAGACGTGGGAGCAACTCAAGAGAACATCAGCCTGAGAAAGAATCCGCAATAAGATTGACAGCAGGAATCGAACTGGAGAGAAGCAAACGACAGCCGGGCGTGAGACAGGCCCCCCACACACACACACACACACACCCACCCACCCCAGTGGAATGCAAAGCTACGACGCAACCAACGAGAAAACACCCCGCCGGATCGGAAGGGACTTGAGCAGATGAGACAGAGACATGTCGGATCCAACGCGGGGACAAATACTCTCCAAGCAGGACTTCGGAAGTTGAGCCAGAGAGAGGAGAGAAAGAGAGACCTGGATACGTGGATACAGGGACACAGGGATGGCTGGCTGGCTGGCTGGCTGGCTGGGTAGGTGGGGGTGGGTGGGGGTGGGTGGGGGTGTGGTGGAGGTGCGTTGGGGTGGGTGGGGGTGGGTGGGTGGGTGGGTGGGTGGGTGGGTGGGTGGATGGATGGATGGATGGATGGATGGATGGATGGATGGATGGATGGATGGATGGGTGGATGCATGGACGGATGACATGATGGATGGAATGGATAGACGATGGCCGGATGGACGGATGGATGGATGCTTGGATGCATGGATGGAGGGTGGATGGCTGTTCGCTTGCATGTTGGGGTCAAACTACTCTTGGAGAGCATGCGAGGCTTCGTAACGCCTAGGAAGCCCTCAGGCAGCATCTATGCGAGGAATTGCAACACGGAGACGCACCCGAGTCCTTCTGGTCAGGGGCAGGCCCGACGGCTGTGAAGGCCTGGCGGTTGGGCGACCTGGGAAAAGCCATGATATGTGATATGTATATATTATATATATATATATCTCTCTCTCTATATATATATATAATAGTAAATATAATATAATATCCTCTTTAAGGTGGCAAATCAGAACTGAGGACTGAGGCACGCCGTCAGTGTTTGTTTGGGGGTGGCGCAGGGGTCGCCGGAAGACGTTTGTAAAAGACGCCTAATCACATGCTCAATGACCTCCTCTGGTAGAATTTGAAGACCCGCTCCGGTTTGAAGCCGTTTCGGGGCGCGGGGGCGGAGCCTCGGCGAAGCTCTTGGCGATGTCTCTTCGTTCGTTGATTCGGAATGTTCCTCAGTTCTTGACCAAGCTCCCGAAGAGCAAACTTCGCATGGAGCCAGCTAGAAACAAACCAGCCTAGACTCCTTGGCCCGCGCAAAGAGAATGATGCGCAGGAAGTGGCTGGTGCTCCGCTTTCCAGATGGCACCGCGCATGCCCGTTCCAGGCACTGACCTGCATGCAGAGCGTGGCTTGTCGTCACTCCGGCCCAGGTCCAACCCTCGAGGCCCTGGCCAAAGCACTCAAGGAGAACTTCCCAGTAGTATCTTCCGAAGAGGCCGAAGGAAAACCTTGCGGTGACCCTCTCTGTCACGCAGCTGGATCCAAATTGCATCGGGCACTGGTGGACAGGAAAGAGTAGTTCGCGGCAGCAGTGCTAGTGGCAGTTCTGACTTCTGCCACGTGTCTTGCTCTGCTATTGCGCTCGTGTCTTGTCGCGGCAAAGCTGGCTGCAGCCCAAAAGCAGCTCAGCGCTTACCTCGATGAGCAGAAACATGTGCGTGCTGGACGACCTTGCAGCAAACAGCTCTGGAGTCATCTCGCGAATCCGGACAAAAGGTGTTCTCTGCTGAGCAAATGACCTGAAGGCAACATCAGTCTTCACGCCCACCATGCCACACGCAGCGGCTTTCCCATCTGCTGAGACGAGCTTGTCCTGATAAGCTGCAACAGAGTGCCCGTGCTGCTCGCAGCACTATACAAGGTGCACCCAAATTACAGGTTGCCAAGGCTCTATGCTGCTTGAGGGAACGTGCTCACAAAAGTTTTGTCGGAAACCGCGATAGATCAACCGCCCCTTGTGCTGCATCATTGCCAGCTGCAGCTGCCACAAATCGCCTTCGTCAGTCAAACCCATCTACAACTAGGGTCACCACATCTCAACCTTAGCCTTACACCCGTTGGGTGGGCAGGACCCAAGAAAACAGAGCATCAACTGTGCTTTCTCGTTTTCTCATGTAAGCTGCGCTTTGACATGTATGTGTCACCGATGACCATGACCATCTCCTTCAGAGCGGCCTCCTGGGGTTCAGAGTGAACAACCCGATGCTCCAAGGCTTAGGCCCAGGCCCCGTTTTTGCTGAGTCCTTCTCTTCGGCCAAGAATAGCTTCGCCTTTTTCTCCATATCTCCCGTGAGACTTGCCTCAGACGCACTTGGTCGAGGGCCCCGCCCCAGGGCGCCACTATCAACCCATCCGAGACGAAACTATCAAGGCTGCCATATGCACGGTCACACTTGAGTCGTAGAGCGGTGGACAACATGATCTCTCTGCCGCCCTGAACAGATATCTAACACCGAATCTTCAGGCCGAGGGGCAGCATTCAGAATAGACTTCAAAATCGAAATTGTACCGGTCTTCAGCTTTTCTGAGAAGGACTCTGTATGCGCTCGGACGAAAAACCTGAGCTGAAGCGATCCTGACAGTCGCTGCTTCCATCAGGCATGCTCCGTCGATAGCCGGCGCACTAGTTGTCATGCTGTCATTACCTGTCAAGCCGACGCTGGTGACAAGCTAGCAAGCCTTCATGCGAGAAGTCACACCGCAATCGCTGTCGGTGCACGAGGGCACGGGTGAAATCTGCGCGTGAAGATCAATGCGGAATGCATTAAGAAGCTCCAAATGAAAGTCGAGCTGAGCCCACTGAATCCAATCCATGAGCACTGCAGTGCAAACACTCAAATCTTCTTTCGCATGGACTCCCAGGAACTGAAGAGAGAATCCGAAACCGTGTATGACCGCATAGCAAAAACGGCATCATGGTAGGATCTGAATATTTGATTAGTCTACATCCCCTTGTCAGGGGCCCCCCAACCGCTCGACCCCAATGACATCTCGAGTTCCGGCCAGGACGAGGCACGGGAAGTCTGGCTTCTCGGAAAACTTGACCCGAACGAGCCTCGGCGAGGCTTCCGATTTAGGGTTTCGACTCTCGCACTCGCGCCAGGCAGGCGGCTCCACACAATTCCGTCACGCCTAGAGAGCTCCGAACGCGCTTGCGACAGACCAGAACCATCTAAAACCATAAACCACCCAGGGGCCATTTCAGAGCTCTCTGTTCAACGAGACACGTTATCCCGTTCTCCACTAGAGTGTTGGGTTATAGATACAAGCAGCCCAGAGGAGTACACCAAACAAAGTTCGCACCTACAAATTTATACAACAGGCTAAGCACAGGTACCGTAGCAGCTGGGGCTGCATCACGTTGAAGACATTGCTGTTTTTCATTGAGAGGCACTGCAACGCCTGTCCACAATCTTGGATTTGGAACTAGTGCTGGCAATCAGTTTTGCCGCAACAGTTTGACTCTTCTAAACCACCTCTAGGGTCCGATCTCTAAACCGAGTAAGTTTCGTAGGTATGGCATGGCATGACATTAGAGTTAGTTAATTACACTGCCCTGGGACCGTCGGGGAGACATTGCAGCCCCGCACATCCCCTTACTCCCCTACTACCGTCAGTTATGGTGAAACAATCAAGCA